GGTAATCCTCGAGTCCGGCAACTTGTTCTATCACCGGGAGGGCGACGATCTGTCCCAAGGAGGTGTCGGATTTATCGTCCACAAGTCTCTCGTCAACAACGTTGTAAAGATTGGGAGTGTGTCGACGAGGTTCGCGTACCTGATACTCAGAATCACCAAACGGTATTCGCTGAAGGTCATACAGGTCTACGCACCAACCTCGGCACATCCCGATGAGGAGGTGGAGGAAATGTATGAGGATATTTCTAGAGCCATGCATTCCTCCAAAACCCACTACACGGTGTTGATGGGAGACTTCAACGCAAAACTAGGCACAAGAGAAGGCGGTGAGCTGAAGTTAGGGAAATTTGGAGTAGGGCAACGGAACCGTAGGGGCCAGCAGCTGGCTGACTTTATGGAGAAAGAGGGACTCTTTATGATGAACTCTTTCTTCCAGAAGCGGCCCCACAGGATGTGAACCTGGTCGAGCCCCGACGGTTCGACAAAAAATGAGATTGCCTTCATTATGACGACCAGACGCCAACTGTTCAGTGATGTCTCAGTGATCGCAAGGGTGAAAACCAGCAGCGATCACTGAATGGTTAGAGGCACACTGAACCTAAACGTTAAGTTGGAGAGGTCTCATCTAATGAAGTCAACGCTCCGTCCCCCTCGTGCTCTAATCCAGAATCCCGAGACTTTTCAGCTCGAGTTACGTAGCCGCTTTCAGTGCCTATAAGATAGCAATGCAGTGGACGATATGAATGACAAGCTCGTGGAAACTGTCCATACGGTCGGAGCTAAGTTCTGCAAGACCCGCCGCAGAAAAACACAAAAATTCTCCGATCACACTCTTAATCTCGTGGCTGTTAGACGGGAGATGAGGCTGCAATCTTCAACAGATTTGACAGCATACAGGCAACTGAATAGACAGATCTCCAAATGCATGCGGCAAGACTTACGCAACTTTAATACAGCTCGTATTAAAGAAGCGATCGAGCGGAACCAGGGCTCCAAAGTCTTTGCCAGAGATCTGTCTGCCAGAAAGAGCCAACTGTCAAAGCTGAAGACTGAGTGTGGCAGCATCGTTTCCGGGACACCTGAGATTTTGAGTGAGATTGAGAGGTTCTATGGGCAGCTGTACACATCACCGTTGGAGCCACACGCAAGTGTGAGTAACGATACAAGAGCAAGTCTTACCCGATACTATTCCGATGATATCCCGGACGTCAGTCTGAGCGAGATTAGAATGGCTCTCCAGCACCTTAAAAACGGCAGGGCCCCAGGCGAGGATGGAATTACAGCGGAGCTTCTGAAAGCGGGTGGAACACCGGTACTTGAAGTCCTTCAGAAGCTCTTCAATTCCGTCCTCCATGGTGGCACTACTCCGGAGGCGTGGAGCAGAAGTGCGGTGGTCTTGTTTTTAAGAAAGGCGACAACGCTCTCTTGAAGAACTATAGACCGATTTCCCTTCTGAGCCGCATCTACGTGCCGTTTTCGAGAGTCATTACGAATCGTTTCGCACGCAGACTCGACGACTTCCAGCGTCCCGAACAAGCCGGTTTCCGAAAAGGCTTCAGTACCATAGACCACATACATACCCTGCGGCAGATTGTACAGAAGACCGAGGAGTACAATCTGCCACTTTGCCTGGCGTATGTGGACTATGAGAAAGCCTTTGATTCCGTCGAAATTTGGGCGGTGCTACAGTCCCTTCAGTGGTGCCAAGATGACTGTCGGTATATCAAGGTGCTGAAGTGTTTGTACAGTAGGGCTACGATGGCTATCCGAGTACAGAACCAGAGTTCGAAACCTATCCAACTGCAGAGAGGTGTAAGACAGGGTGACGTTATATCCCCGAAACTCTTTACCGCTGCATTGGAAGACGTTTTCAAGCTACTGGACTGGAAAGGATACGGTATTAACATCAATGGCGAGTACATCACTCAGCTTCGATTTGCCGACGATATAGTCCTTATGGCAGAATCGCTGGAGGACCTTAGCACTATGCTCAATGACCTCAATGGTGTCTCCCAACGGATAGGTCTTAAGATGAACATGGACAAAACAAAGATTATGTTCAATGTCCATGTCACACCTATGCCGGTAGTTGTGGGGAGCACTATGCTCGAAGTTGTTGACGAGTATGTTTACCTGGGACAAATTTTCCGACTAGGTAAGTCCAACTTTGACCGAGAGGTCAATCGACGGATTCAACTCGGCTGGGCAGCGTTCGGGAAATTACGACACATCTTCTCGTCAGGTATACCTCAATCTCTGAAAACCAAAGTGTACAACCAGTGCGTGTTGCCAGTGATCACTTACGGATCAGAGACGTGGTCCTTCACTGCTGTATGAGGACGCTCAAGGTCGCTCAGCGAGCTATGGAGAGGGCTATGCTCGGAGTTTCTCTGCGTGATAGACTCAGAAATGAGGATATCCGCAGTAAAACCAGAGTGACCGACATAGCCCAACGGATTAGTAAGCTGAAGTGACAATGGGCCGGCCATATAGCTCGAAGAACCGATAACCGATGGGGAAGAAAGGTTCTCGAGTGGCAGCCTCGTACCGGTAGGCGTAGTGTAGGGCGACCCCCCACTAGACGGAGTGACGACCTGGTAAGACATGCAGGAATTAGATGGATGCAGGTGGCTCAGGACCGTGCTTCGTGGCGTTACTTGGGGGAGGCCTATGTTCGGCAGTGGACTTGTGAAGGGCTGTAATGATGATGATGATGAATATTAACTTATTTTAAAATGCCGACAAATCGAGTATTTTACAGCATTCGTGGTCACGGTGGGGGGGGGAGACTAAGGTGATTGACATCTGAACGTCATAGTTTACAGTCATATTTGGATCATTTTTTATGGTTCAAATGCTAAGTATAGCCATTCAGCGATGAAACGCAGCCAGCGTTCTTGGCACGATACCGCGGGGAGGAGGGCTGTATGATAAGTAAGTTATTAGTTTTAGTTTTTTTTTATTATATTATAATGCAATGCTTTATTTTTCTAAATACTTCATTATTTAAAATAAATTTATATACAAATTACTTAGCTTACATACTTGAATACATGGCTCTAGAGATATTCTCATACATTTCCTACCGAAGTTGGCGCACAAGCCTGTATGACCTTCAGTGAATGTCGTTTGGTGATTCTGAGTGTACAGTAGGCAACGCTCATAGACACACTCACAATCATCACAAACTTGTTAACGAAAGACGTGTAGACGATAAATCCGACATCTTTTTGGGACAGATAGTCGCCCTCCCGGTGATAGTACAACTTGCTGGATTCGAGGATTAACGTGTCCTCCCCTCTCTTCGGTTCTCATATAATCCTATAATATTCCAGTACAACTTGTCTATCTCTTCTTCCAGCTCCAGGATCTTCTCGTCAGCCCTCACGGTACGTGCGTTATATGTTGCCAGGTTAAGTAGTCTTAGGTGGCAACCGAAACTCCACCAGAGATTCTTAGCACCTCCTTTATTTAGTTTATAAAGTTATTTTGCTTTAAAAAATGTGCCGTTGTGTTTCTTGCGGGTTCTTCCCAGGACAGAGGTTTTCTTCGAACCATTGGTAAATTAAACAAAAGAGTGACAACTCAATAAGTATCTATATTAAATAAAAAAGTTTATGTTGCTGTTTCTATTGTTAATATGCTATTTAAGATGCTCATTTAGGTACCACGTGCTTTACGGTGAAGGCAATCATCAAGTGAGAAAACCTGCATGTCTAAAGATTAAATATTTCGAGGACAAATTAAGACCGTCAATTTTCACTAGAGCAACGCAACGGCAAGTACACATACTCACGTATACATTCTACATGTGCACATATTATACACTACACACACTAACATATACACTGTTACTAACTTATTTTATTTTCATATCATACTATCATTACTAATTTTTTAACTCTCCAAATAATATTTCGTACGATGTTAGGCTCTTACCATTTCATATAAAGAGGTTGTACAACAGAAAGAAAAAGAAAGTTGTAAAAATTGCCTTCTCCCGGCACACATTAGCTCCGTTCATATTACATTATAAATGAATGTGATTTAACAGAATCTGAGCACACAGAAAATAGGAAAAATAAGGAAATTTAGTATCGTTTTAAACATGACTCTCAACATGCCTTTTCCCTTTTTTACGGAAAATACTTAAAGATTGTTAAAAAAAGAAGAAAATACAAGATTATTACAAATTCGGAACATAACATTTGACTATTTTAGTATTCTTTGATCATCACACTACTTTGATTGCTAAAATTATTTGAAAATTATAATTGAATTACAAGTACTCTCGTTTTAATACTTTAAGTTGTTATTCATAAAACGCTGCTCCTTATTTCCTATTTCATTTCCTCTATCGCCTACTACGAGTACGATACCCAAGAGGTGATATAGGGCAGCTTTTAAGCTGCAACTACACGGTGATTTTTTATCTTATAACTTAACTTCAATAATGGTGAACATTCAAAGGATCTTTTCACAAGACAAATTTATTTTCTAGCTAATGTTTATACTTATTATCGTATTACCAAATCAATCTAATTTAGGAAATTTATTTCTCATAAGAATATAACATTCATTTGATTGACTTAAAATAGATTTTTTTATAGAATAAGGGTGACAAACGAGCACACAGTCCACCTGATGGTAAGTGGATGCTGTGGCCATCAGACATCTACATTTATTCTCGATTAATAATCAAAATGCAGATGCGTTGTCACCCCTGAGAACTAAGATGGAATGCCTCGATTCCAGTAAAAAAGGGTCTCCGGATCTCTACACTCACCATACCAAACACAGCAGTATTAAGCTGCTATTTTACGCTGGTATTCTGTGAGAGCATGGTCCTTCCCCGTTCGAGCCGAACCATTCGTGCTACAGCCATAATATAGTTGCAGCGTGACTCTATCACGTATGAAAATACGTAATTTCGTATTACTTTATAATAAATCTTTTTTTCCAAGAGACCGTTTTATACCGTACCACTTTCTAACTTATTTATGCCACCAATCAGCGGTGGATCCACTACTGAGTTCCACTTGAAGGGTAATGGAAAAGTGTAACTAGGTTTAAGCATGTATTTTGTCATTTTCTTCTAGCTACTGAAGATCTGTAGCAAATATTATGTTATAAGATAGTTGCGCGTGTCCATGGGCTGCAGTAGCCACTTATTATCTGTTTTTTTTTTTTAAATAAAATTAAGGTGACAAACTAACTTACATCTATCTGATGGTAAATGGCTACTTTAATCTTTGGATACAAGCAAGCAAACCCAATCCAAAACATGTAAAGAACGCCAAAAATGTGTTGTCGTCTCTGAGACTGAGCTTTTACTTATACGGGCTTTCAGACTGGAACTAAGCAATGCACGCACTACTGAATGGCGGCAGGAATAGGTAAGTGGTTGGAACTTACTCAGACGGACTTCTAGGCTGATAAGCGTCCTACTACATAGTGAACTGTCTACTAGAAATGGATTTATCCAGCTAGTAATTCCAATACATATTTATATATATATATATATATATATATATATATATATATATATATATATATATATATATATATATATATATATATACATATATCATATTGTAACTCCAAAGTTAAAAAAAGTTGACCTTTCACAGGCTAGACCGTTAATCAGCGGGGTGCATCACGCGTATTTGACTATTACATTTCTGGGTAAAGGTGGTATTTTCCATCACACAATTTCATGATTGATATTAGCGTTTATTAAATTCATCCGTTTTAACTGGTAAATAAAAAATAACTTTTATTTATATCTCTTTTGTTTCACTTTATATAATATACAATGTTTAAACATTCATTTCCTGAAAAGCATTAGCTGCTTGCCTATAAATTTAATACAAGCGCAGTTTGCAATATCAGACGTTATTGGTGTAAATTTTAAAATCAAAATCATAGCGTAAAGCATAAAATTTCGATTTCTGAAGCACACGAATGAACCTAGTTAAATTATTATTACTATAGCCATGTATTTTCAAAAGCAACACCTGCTGATAGTCTGTGCTCATTTTATGCTAATACTACCGTTATTTTTTATTTTATAAACTTCTGGGTACTATAATAACACTTTCTGTTCTCTCAGGTCCTAATATCATGGGTCAATGCATTTGATGACACAGGCGACGACAAAACTTGTAGGTTTTAGACAAAAACAAGGATGTTTTGTGTGTGTTATTGCTTCTATTTTTTCCATTCGATAAAATTTCGTTGTTTTGATACTATAAGCAATATATTATTATTATATTATTATATTAATATATTATTATAAGCAATATATCATTTGTAACAGCTTTACAAAATAATTTTAAGATAATTTAATGTTGTGCAATTTTCAGTGGACTTTAAAATCGGATTCGATTTGACGCGGGATTTAAACGGCAAACCGGCACTTACAGTACGACGTTATGATGGTAATAATAATTATTTTGCTTTTTTCGAGCCATCGTTCGCATTTTCAAGTAATGACTAATTAGCAATCAGTTTTCTTATTAGATAATTTAAGTGTCAATTTAATGTTTCGAATGTATCACACACAATAAAATAACAAAGTAAAGATTTAAAAAAAGTATTTTAAAACAAAAATAGGGTTCTTTTTGTTTACATGGTTTAAAAATATTATTCTAAGATTTACCCAAATCGCAACTAACATTGAAATGATAATTATATAGACATTAGCAGTGGCGACCCTAGCAAAATTTTTAGGTGGTGCGAGATCTCATAGTAGCGCCCATATAAATAAAAAAAAACCTTAGTGTTCGTATATTACGGAGTTGATTTTCCGTGATTTTAAATGGTACGACCTATTAAATATCTACAGGTGTATGACAATTGTGTATATAAAATAACTGCGGGGCAGGCACAATTTTTTCTGTCGCTCTTGCCATAGCAGTTTTTCCGCTTATTCGTCTTAAAGAAATGTTGTCCATTTCGCTCGCACTACTCTGTTGCGCTCGACAACAATTTTTTCATCAATTCGGAATAATTTAACTTTTGGGCAATAGAATTTTCTACGGAAAAGATCCCATAGTAGAAACTTAGGTAAATTTTAAAATGTTTTAATGTACTAAAACTTCACATAACAGATCTTAAGTGGTTCAATGTGATGGAGTTTCAAGGGACAATCGGGCTAGGCTTTTTGAGATTCCACAAAATGGCTCAGTTCCAAATTGTGTGCTCTTTACGCCCTCCCGTGCCAGCTCATCGGCAAGTTCATTGCCTACAATACCCGCGTGGCAGGGAACCCATCTTAAAACGACCCTGTTGTTACATTCCAAGGTGTTTAGACGGTTCGCGCAGCCTCCAACTAGCTTCGAGTTCACTAAGTTTGTTCTCAGCGCTAGCAGTGCTGCTTGGCTATCAGAGTTTATATAGATTATATGATTGACGAAGTGTTTTTGCGTATTGATTTTTGCACACTGAAGTATGACGAAAATTTCTGCCTGGAAGATAGAGGTGAATCTACCTTATTCATACTAAGTTTAAATTTGTGGCATTCCCCATAAATTCCAAAGCCTACATCAAGGTCCATTTTGACCCATCGTTGTACCATATAAGGCTACCGACCTCACAGATAACCTGTCCATTCAGCCAGTCTTCTCCGGAGGGTAGTTCCACTATATACTTTTTGAATAAAACTATTATTTACGGATTTTATCGCGTTTAATTCAACTTTAATTTATATTTACTATTATTATTATAAAGTTGAATTAAACGCGATAAAATCCGTAAATAATAGTTTTATTCAATGTGTAGTGTTCGCGTAAATTTAAGAAATCATTATGTACTTTCTATTAAAAGTGTATAGTGGACAAATGATATTTGAGATCATGCATAAGACCCATGTTTCCTTATATGAGTCGAGCATGGATCTCAATGTTAGGAAAGCAAGCGCAGACCGCTCTAGGCGTTAATCCTATACAAACTAGCCCTCGCCTCTTGGTGTAAATAAAGATCAATTATAAAGAGCTGCTCCAGGCGATAATCGCATCGCTCCAGTTGCTATTAAGCAGGCACTCCTTAGAGACTATTTAATCCGTCCGCAGTCGTCTTTTGGTTGGCCTTATTACACCAGACTATGGAAGCGTAGGTAATAATTGGCCTCACTGTGCTGCTGTTCAGCCATAAGATCATACTGAAACGCAAGTCCCAACTTTTTCCAACCATACGACTGCATGTACCTGAAACAATTTTAGCCTTATAAAATACGTTGCTACGGTGAGAGTTTCACGTTATTTTTTGGTCGCATTTTACGTCCAAATACTAACTTTTTCGATAATTAAAATAATCCATTATGTTGAAGTTGTTAGAACTTAATTTGCTCATTTCCGCGTAGTAAAATACATAGATGTGTTCTGCCCAGTCTGAAGAGCACCCACCTCCCACCTTCCCTCAGTTGCGTGCATTATCCCCTTCATCACCACCTCCAGCACCACCACTCTCAGCACCACTACTCCCAGCGTCACCTCTACCAGCACCACCTCACTAGGAATGACACACCACCCTTGATAATACGACATGTGTTTCGCCTCTCCAGGCATGAAGACCAGAGGCATTCTCAGATGAAGTAGACTCTGCGGAGGCTAACTCTACCTTCGTCAGCACTAATCTTATCCCAACCACTCTTAGCACTTTCTCCGCTCTCCACACGCTATTTATACAACTCGTTGATCTGCGAGATGTAAGTATAAATAGTAACTGTTTCTGCTCGCCGCTCACTTAGACTTCAGCCACCGCAGAGACTACTTCACTCATGGATGCCTTGTGTAGAGGCGAAGCACGTATCGTATTGTCGAGAGTGGTGTGTCGTTCCTAGTATGGTGGTGTTGTGTGTGGTGGTACTGGGAGTGGTGGCTACGGGGATGGTGCATGCAATTGAGGGGAGTTGGGATGTAAGTCAAATTCTGGTTCGAACAACTTTAATTTTCCTGCCATGTTCGCACCATTATTGTACCCTTGACCTCGATAATCATTCGTGTCTATGTGAAACACTTGTACAATTGCATAAAGAAAGAGGCCAGTAAGTCCTTTTTCCAAAGAGTACTACTGGCTTGTAAGAAACAAAATACTCGTGCTTTGACTTCCTAATTAGCGTCAACAAAACGGAATGTTAGTGATTAGAGTGAGTGAATTGGTGACCGGTGCCCGGTGGTAGCGTTTCGGTTGATCCCCCCCTCCCCCAATGACGGCGCCCGGTACGATATTTACCTTCGTTTTTGACGTTAATCATTAAACTATAATAAAACATTATGTGTACTGTAAATTTCCATTGTAGGGGCATAAGATAATAAGTTTCCATTTTGTCCTATGTTTGTATGAAATTCGACTTAAGAAAAATATTATTAAAACTATTTGACATCCGGCAGTTAGCGAAATTATCACTGTAATGCCATCCTACATTATTCAAATCAAATTGAAGCGCGTGTTTTGCCATATAGAGTGTACACTTTAAAAAAGTCTTAGCAATTACAATTATTACGGTTCAAATTTGTAAGAAAATGACAATCTATACAAAGCGAATCAAACGTTTCTAAATTTGTAATTAAAGCTTGAGAAATTTTTGTAGTATAAAACTTCAACCATCGCAAATATATTACTGTTGTTAAGTTGTAAACGACTTGTAAATATCCATGCATTATAAGAAGTAAGTACTCCCTAGTTCTCATTAACACAACTGAATTCAGCGCAACCACTCTTAGTTTCGCTGAATATAATGTTAAGCGACAGTAAGCACACATCTTTAAATAACTTCATCCAACATTGTTTCCAATTTTCATCAAACTGTACTTTGAAAGTGATATATACGAGTATATTAAAACAAGTTTTATTAATTCCATAGGTTCTTTGAAATTTTCTTTATTTAAGTAAGTATTTTTACATTTCCAGATAATTCAAAAAGTACTCACGAAATAGATGTAGTTTCTAAGCCATCAATAAGAGCCGATTCCTTTAGCGATAGTGACGAAAATGATAAAGCACGTTTGGACGCCAGACAGAAAGACAAATCAGAAAGCAAAGAAAGTGACGAAGAGGACTCAGGGAATGGTAATTTGCATATATTACATTGAAATATAAGAAAGAGATGAAATATTTAGAGTACTTACAGTAACTAAATGTGTTGTTTTACAACTACTACTTGCGATCTGAATATAGCAAAAGATTTTTGTATTAAACGTTCATAATCTTGGGCCATATTGCAGAACCTGATCGTAAAGGAAAACAGAGTACAAAGGGAATTAATGCTGAATACGAACCAGAAGGTAAAATATTGTTTTACCTCGATTTTTCTACGTCTTTCAAAGTATAATATATTTAATTAATCAAAATTATTCTTTTATCTCTTTATTTATTATTTATTATTAAATTTACAGAAAATGTTAACATTCACGATAGATTTTCAGAAAATGATTCCAAAGGTAGGTATTCTTTACAATTTTATGTCTCTGCTATTCATCAATCATTACAGTCTTTCACGAGTCCACTGCTGAACATGAGCTTCCCCCAAGAAATGCCACAAAGCACGGTCCTGAGCCACCTACATCCAACAAATACTTGCATGTCTTACCAGATCGTCACTCCATCTAGTTCACACTACACTTTGCCTACCGGTGGTACGAGGCTGCCACTCGAGAACCATTGACCCACTGCCACTTCAGCTTACTAAACAGTTGGGCTATGTTGGTCACTGTGGTTCTACTACGGATATCCTCATTTCTAAGTTTATTACTCAGAGAAACCCCGAGCATAGTGCTCTCCATAGCTCTCTGAGCAAACTTGAGGGTCCTCATACGGCCAGCAGTGAAGAACCGTGTCTCAAATTCATAAGTCATCAACGGAAACACGCACTGGTTGTACAATCTCGTTTTCAGGTTTTGAGGTGTTCCTGATAAAAAGATGTGTCGTAATTTCCCGAACGCTGCCCAGCCGAGTTGAATCCGTCGTATAACCTCTCGGTCGAAGTTGGACTTACCTAGTCGGACTATTTGTCCCAGGTAAACGTACTCGTCAACAACTTCGAGCTAGGTGCTCCCAACAACAACAGGCATAGGTGTGACATAGACATTACAGAAGACCTTTGTTTTGTCCACGTTCATCTTAAGACCTTTCCGTTGTGAGATATTATTGAGGTCATCGAGCAAAGTGGTTAGTATCCTTTCCAGTTCAGTAACTTTCTGCATTTGAATAGATTTCGTACTCAGAGTACAGAATACTGGGAGAGCTATTGTAGCTCTACTGTTAAAACACTTCAGCACTTCGATATAGCGACAGTTAACTTGGGACCGCTAAAATTTCGACGGCATCAAGGGCTTTCATAAGTCCACATACGCAAAGCAAATTGGCAGATTGTATTCTTCAATCTTCTGTACAATCTGCCACAGGGTATATATGTGATCTATGGTACTAAAGCCTCTTCGGAAACCGGCTTGTTCGGGAGGCTGGAAGTCGTCGAGTCTGCGTACGAGACGATTCGTAATGAATCTCGAAAATAGCACGTAGACGCGGCTCAGAAGGTAAATCGGTAGTTCTTCAAAAGAGCGTTATCGCCTTTATTGAAGAACAAGACCACCGCACTTCTGCTCTACGTTTTCAGAGCAGTTTCACAATGAAAGACGGAATTAGAGCTTCTGAAAGACTCGAACTACAGGTTTCCACTCGCTTTCAGAAGCTTCGCTGTAATATCATCCTCGTCTGGGGCCTTGCCCTTTTTAAGGTGCTGGAAAGCCATACTAATCTCGCCCAGACTGACGTCCGGGATATCATCGGAATAGTGTCGGATAAGACTTGCTCTTGAATCGTTACTCACATGCAAGTGGAGGCTGCAAGTTGTGCAGTCTGCGTGCGGGACGATTAGTAATAACTCTCGAAAACAGCACGTAGACACGGCTCATTAACACGGATTAACACCATATGTGGGTTTTAAAAGAATACATGCATGTGCCGATATTTGTGCGTAAGCCTATATGACCTTCAGAGAATACCGTTTGGTGATTCTGAGTATAAGTTACGCAACCCTCGTCGACAGACTGCCAATCTTTACAACGTTGTTAACGTGAGACTCGTGGATCATAAATCGTCCACCTACACCTCCTCGGGACAGATAGTCTCTCTCTTGGTGATAGAACAAGTTGCCGTTTTCGAGGATCACCGTGTCCTCCCCCTCGCTTCGGAACTTGAATAATCCTATAATATTCCAGCGGAACTTGTCTATCTCATCTTCCAGGTTTGAGATCTTCTGGCCAGTCCTCAGGATGCGTGCGTTGTATGTTGCCAGGTCGAGTCGTCTTCCTTCACCGGAGATTCTTAGCATCCCATGCCCCACCGTTACTATGGACTCCACCGTAACCAGGATTAGCGAGGCCGTCTCGGACAGGGGGCCGTCTCTTCGTATCTCTTATCATGGGGGTGTACTGCCATAGTTGCCACTCTTGGCGAGCGGGTTAGCAACCGCAGTTTTATTTGTTGTACGATTGCTGTTATCAAGAAAATGCTGCTACTTATCTCCTGCCTGTTTCCTTCTGTCACCTTTAACGACACCCATGGAAAGATATAGGGTAGTGGATATTCTTAAACGCCACAACACGGCATACATTAAACACTCCAAATAAATCAATGAGAATCGGTAATTTAATTTTCAGCGTTCATTGTCAAAATTATAAAATTATTTTTCAACTTATTCGTTTCAAAAACTTATTCTTGAATATGTAGATTAAATTAAATTGATTTATTTTTATTCCAGAAGGAGACAAATAAAGTATTATCAAAATTTCATGTGTGAATTTGTCTTTTAATTAAAGAAAAATAATGTGATTTGCATCTTTTTTATTTTTAATTCCTTATTCGCCGTTGTGCCGATTTCATACATAGACATACACACATATATATATATATATATATATATATATATATATATAAACTTATCCTTGTACTTATACCATTCTATATTATGCATCTCTAGTTCTATTTTATAGTTTATAATGTTATTATTGTCGCCAAACCACACACATGTTTTTATTGTTCTTTTTGTAGTCCTATCCAAAGGTTGTCTGGAAGAGATCGCCGATAGCGATAAGACCGCCCATTGTACCACATCTCTTTCTCTCCCTTTTTTTGATAAAATTTTTTGGCTTGCAATAAAGTGTTATCTCTTTACTTTCTTGTAGTTTAAAATGCAACTTACTACAAAATAATATTCTTATATAGGACGCGGGCTATCCAACCAATGACATATAATGGAACGTGCTACGAGATTTTAGCATGCTGCAAAACTTTACGCGCTTGCCATCCTCACGCTTTCTTATAAATATCCCGCTATAACATAGCGTATTTAATAGCGCGCTAGAAATTTATATTTTATAGTCAGTAGCATGCTATTGATAAATAGTCGTTTTGAACAACTTTAATTTGTGTATATTTATATGCATTTAAATTAATTTACAAGCCTTATTTTAATATGTGTTTTATCTATATAAATTTATTATATTTAGTAATTTCAGTCACCGTTGAAAACCGTTCAAAACCATTACGCTTGGCACGTAACGGTTTTAGCAGATACTCTCTCCTATCATAATTATCATCATCATCATTACAGCCCTTCACAAGTTCACTGCCGAACATAGGCTTCCCCCAAGCAACACCACAAAGCACGGTCCTGAGCCACCTGTATCCATCGCATCCATCGACATCTATCTCCTATAGCAGACACTTATTTCCAGCACCGGAAATCATTTATATTGTAAAGGTAATAATTAAGATATATATATATATATATATATATATATATATATATATATATAATGTAATGAAATTTCTCAATTCGTGCCCATATTCAAAACAGTTCTGTGGCGGCGTTTTAATATCCATTACCCGATATTGTCGTTTCGTAAGAGTTGGCAGAGAGATACAAGCCAGGAAATGGACATCAACGTCTATATAAAAACAAAATAAATAAATAAAATTTCAATCTGCCTATATGGATGTGCAGGTGGCTCAGGATCGTATTTTGTGGCTATATTATTATTATTATGTATATTATATATTTATTACTTGGGGGTGGCCTATGTTCAGTAAGGGACTTGTGAAGGGCTGTAATGATGATGATGATAATGAATCTGCCTATAAGGGTAGCAACTATGGCAAAATCTTCCCATGAGGCAATCGGTGGTATGTTCAGTAACGGACTGTAATAGATAGAAATAGACCCTTATTAAATAACCACCATAAAATATTACAATCATACCCTTATCTATGGATTAGGCATAACTTAAAATACAGACTAATAGATCACAGGTATTAATGATAATATATTGCATTGGCAAGGGTACTTAGCTCACTTACCTGTACGCTGACGTGATGACCTAAGCTTTTCAATTAATATTTAATTTAGTGTTTTCTTGAAAAGTTCTCACTCTACAGCAATTAATTTAAAAGGCTGAATATATTAAAACAATATATTTATTTTAAACAATAACATTTCTATAATTTGAAGAAAATAAGAATGTAGAGAATGGAGCTTTCCATAAGATTTATAAAGATTATAGACTATAATATAGAATATTATAGAATCGGCTCATTGGTATCAGGCTCGATAATGCATTTTGCTCAATAATGTATGCTCAATAATTGTATATAATTGTTAGTTTTCGTTTTTTCAGAGTAACTATGGTAGCAATCGCGTTTAGCTTCGTTTTAAGAGGATACACAATCTGCAAGTCTACTTTCTGTGATGTTAGCGCTTTTAGCCCTCTCGCTCATATAGCTTCGTTGAAAGTGGGTGGACATTATTTATTTTAGTGCGACGCTACGAATGTAATGTTGCACTAAAAATAATAAGCTTGTGTCCTTATGAACACGTCTTGACATTGTTACCTAACCGCCGTCAGAACACGGGTTGCAGGCCCCGGCTCTGACAGCTCCTTTCGTTTGGTATTCTGGACGGTGTGTACGCGGTGTGCAGAGGTGTGCGACGAGTCCATCTGCGGACTCGCTGTGTCCTATATGTTGTCCTAACTGTGTTTTGTGGCAGTAGGTAAGTGTTTGTGTGTGCTAGCCGGCGACATTTGGGTCGGCG